AGAAAGAAAGAAAGAAAGAAAGAAAGAAAGAAAGAAAGAAAGAAAGAAAAGCAATAAATGGAGATGATTCTCTAGAGAATTCCTCTAGGTCAGTTCACTGAACACATACATCTATCTTGATTGGCTTCCTCTAGGTTCCTCTCCTGTCACTTTAGATTCTAGTTCCCCAGTGTGAGAATCAGTTTTATAACATCTAACATTTTGGTCTTATAATACACTTAGATGTTATATGTAAAAACAGACCTAGAACTACAGAGCTTGGCAGAAGACCAATATGAAAACCCTGCACTGGTCAGGAAGAAACGTAGGTCAGAATAAGAGTAGTGATAGATTGTGACAAAAGAGAAGAATGTGTAGGGTCAGACAGTGAAAGGAGGCATGATTGTAAAGGCATCCTAATATGTTGTTTATTTCATCACAATAATTCAAAACTATTAGAAACAAGGGGTGCAAACTGGAAGGTTTAATGGTTATGTTCTAGATATTTTTCTACAATATTGTGACCTTGAACAAAATACCACCTCTCTCAAAACTTCAGCATCTCATGTACAAGTAGTAGTAGCAATAGTTCTGTCTGCTCCAAGTTGTTCTCAAAAAGTACATGAAATAGTGTATCTAAAGCAATGGTCGTATCTGGCACAAAGAACAAAATGTTAGACTGATCAAGATATGTTAGTCAAAGGGTAAGGGAACTTAGACTAATGGCATATGAAGCATAAATGACCCAAATAGAACAGTATGGTGACAGCATCTTTCATGGAAACATCATCTGATTTACACCTGACTCTAGAGAAGGATACAAGCAAGCACTCATAACCATAGGTATTCTTACCTATAAGTCTTCTTTAGATATCAGGCACTACTGCCTTAAAAAGCCTGACCTAAATTTTATGGCAATATCATAACCAATAAAGTTGTATGTTTCATTTTACCTCAGGAACCTATGTTCACATTAATGTCCAAAAGATGAAATAATAATTCATAACAGGCATTATAAGAATTAAAATAATGACTATGTTTTCCTATTATAATCCTTATGTGTAAATGGGTTATCAATGATATGGCCAAAACAGTAAAGGGAAAAATCAAAGATAGTTAAAGAAAGTCCCCCAAATAAAAATATAAAGATCAGTCTCCCTCAATGGCGGATCTCTTACTTACCTAGACAGTAAGCTATCTAGAAGGCCCTCACTCAAAGGTAGTCTGGCGGACTTGCACATCCTTTTAATGTCTTTGGTGGGTAATACACCTTTTCTGTATTCAAAGAAAGTAAATAAGCTTTCATTTATTGTATTCCTTTTTAACAAGATTTGCATGTTATAGGAAGGAAAATATAAATTATATATATATATATATATATATATATATATATATATATATGTTCCAAAATGGAAGTATAAAAACTGACATTGGAATTTTAAGTAAGGAAAAGCCGTCATCATATTGCATTTCACCAATGTTTTCCAATTCAGGGTACAAGACTGTCCTTAGATTGCAAGATTCAGATTCCAGTTCTTGGTTGGTGATAGCACAGCATATTGAAGCTGTAGCCATGAGTGCTGCTCTAAGTAACTGATCTGCATTCTTTACTACTAGACAAAAATGGTTTAATATTTGAAAACAAACCCCTAATCTGACAAGCATTTAGAGCCCTTAACCCAAGTATAAAATGAATTGGAAGTATTTTTCTGAACTGTTTCTTTGTTGGATCCAAACCCAACTAGGGCCTTCACTTTAATTTTCTTAGAATCAAGTCATGTTGTCCACAGGAAGCCCAAAGGTCACTTTACACAGAAAAATTTCTCCAGGGTTCTTAGTCAATCAGTGTTCTTTCATGAACCACAAAATTAGAACCCAAAGGAAAAAATGGGTTCTTTATTTGCAATAAAGTCATTGAGATCTACAATCAAAACATATTAAGATCACTATATCAATCTGTATATAAAAGAATAATCTGGAGCTAGAGAGATGGGTTGGTGGTTAAAAGTGCTTGCTGTACTTCCAGAGGTTCCCAGCAGCCAGGCCTGTGACTCACAGCCACCTGTAACTCCAGCTCCTGGTGATCCATGAACTCTTCTGTCTTCCACAGTCACTGCAGTGATATGCATATGCACACCAAGATCCGATATACATATACACAAAAAATAAAAATAGAACTCCTTTTTAAAATGAAAAGTTTTTTAAATGACCTAATAAAACTGAACATACATGTGCAGTGCATTAGAAATAGACCACACAGAGTTTCACTCATTAGTTTTTATAAAGACATAGCTTCCCCCAAATAAACAGAAAGTTTATTTGCAAGGTATCTGCCACAGTTTATAAATCCTAGTTAGTACCAAAATAATACAAAGATGACACCTTATCATTAAATCCTATGACTTCCTAATTTACCCTATTTTAGTACAAAGCACCTAGAAACAAACAAACAAAAAAAACATGCAAGAGGACAAACTATTCTATTTATGATAGAGGATCTTCTCTATCCTTTCCCTGTCTCCTATGATTTAAGGTAGTTTCGCTAAAAATTGACATATGTCAATTTTTGTCTTACCCATTTTCATAAAATATATAAATTTCTTTTACTAGATAAGGTCAGAAACTTAAATGATTTATTAGAATCAATAAAAAGCTTACTTCTGTCTATCTTCATATTCACACTCATAAATGAATACGGCAAAATTCTCAAACATATTTTTCTTGAACTTTTCATGGGCCTGTGCAACTAAGTAAGTTAGATCTGTTTCCGTGCTCTCAGGCACATGGTAGTGACGTGCAATAGTTATGAACTCCTGCTCTATGAGCTTCCCCACAGTGATGTTCATCAGGATCTCTCTGCAAAGAAAGTAGAACAACATTGATAAAATGACACAGAAGAATATTTTCTCGGTTAAAAGTTCAAATTCCATTTCATAAAACTTTCCCTGCTTCTCAGGAGACAATTATTGTTAGTTATTTTGATATTTTTTTCTTCCTTTTCCACCACTAAGAATTATATCCAGACCTCTGACATGGGAGACAAACCCTTTCCCATTGGGCTATGACCCTATTCTTCTTGTTATTGTTATCAATATTTTCTTTTTGAGGTGGGGTCTCATTAATTTACTTAGACTGGCTTTGAATTCACTCTGTAGCCATGGCAGGGCTTGAAATTGAGACCCTCCTGCTTCAGCTCCCAATTAGGTGGGATTACACACTTCTACTACCAAGCCCAACAATTGTTTTCTTTAATTTACATACATTTAATTTAGGAGCAGCAAGAAAACACCAATGCTAGGATAGAAAATAATAAGCATCATAGTTTTTAAATAAAATATTTTTCCACTTTGAGAATAATCTGCAATGAGGAAGTGAATTGTTAAGTCTTTGCAAGGTTAAAAAACCTGTCACATGACTTGGGTTCAATGTCTAGTCATTGTCATTACAAGAAATAGTAACTGACTTGGGTTTCTGTTTTCTCAGGACACAGAATTGGTAAATCAATAAAGAAGAAGGATATTTTGTAGATGGGAAAAGCAGTTGCTCACATTTCTGTTGCCAAAAATAAAAACTGAAATACCCTATTAATGAGAAAACACTTAAAAGAGTCATGTAGGAATCCAGCTGTCTGAGTGTTTTGAAGATAAATAGCACTGGGATTATCTGGCAGACCTAAAAAAAAAAGACCAGCCAATCAAACAACATATTACTGATGATGAGTATGCAAAGCCTAATACACTGTCTGTACTGTTTTTAAAAAAATCATATGTATGAAAGCTATAAATTGTGCAACATATATTAGAAAGACCTACCTCAAAATCATTGAAATAAAAAGTGTCACGGTGGTCACATGAATACACTGCCACAAGAAAATTGACTTACTGGAAATAATTCAGCTCTCAAGAGTTCCAAATAAACATGGAAAAATGAGATTTTTGTTTGTTCTTCTACTATAGTTGGATCTTTCAGATTAATAGGCTTTAGTTCTTTTTTTTTTTGTAATTCCGATCATTATTATCATTTAAGGATCTCAGAAATGTGTGGTGGTACACTTGGAAGGGTTGGGATGCTGAGACAGGAGAATAGCTAGGAGTTCAAGGCCAACCCATGCTATATAGAGACCATATATCAAACACACACAACACATAAACACACATATGGGAGAGGAGGGTTGGTGAATATGAATGTGAATATATGAATGAATAAATGAGTGAATGAATGAATAAATGGATGAGTAGATTACTAAATACATGTACACATGCTGGTTTATCCTAATCACAAATTTCCTGTCCTGGAATCCATGATCTTGCCCTTGTCCAAAGGAACTTCACTTTACATATAGGTCAGGCTATTGACTTTTCTGCTTTGCTTCTGTATTTTTAAAGAAGGTCAAGCTTAAAAAAAAAAGCATCCCTCAATGTCAGTAATTCAGGTCAATAAATCCGTGATATTAGCAAAGGATATACTTTGTGGGAAACCCTATGAAAGGTATACTGGCCTCTGAATTTCTCAGACTCTACACTGTAAGTTGGGTTATCCAAGCATGAGATGAGCTCTCAAGTTCACAAACTAGCAAGACCAAATGAATGAAGTAATAGTAATACAATTTCCACTATTTGCTGAAGACTAGCTATATTCCAGATCCTGTGCTACAGATACTTTTGACATAGATTATCTCACCTGACCTAAAATGTTGATACTATAATTATTCATATTTTATAGATGGGACTATGGAAGCACCAAAATTTTATGTAACCTGCTCATATTTCCAAAAGCTATAATATAAACCTAAGCATCTGGCTTCAAAGCCTATGCTTCTATGTATTGCTCAATGTACTCTTCTGTTAGGACAGAAGAAAGACTGACAGAAGAGAGGCTTAGAAGGACATGAGACTTGAACTGAACTTTATGTGTCTGTAGAGGCAGAGATCAAAGCTAGTGCCTTGCACATGCTAGGTAATGATTTCTAGCCTTGAGCTAAATTTGGATGGGCCTCTCTTTGCAGTCTATGCAACTGTTCGAATAAGTTTACCAAAATTCATGTGTTGGAAACTTAAATCTCCAAACTAATGCTACTGTAATGTAGAAAGGAAAGCAGAGTTAGAGAAACTCATGAGGATTGGCTACCAAGAAGCTTTTACTGGCTTCATCAAAGAAGGAACAGAGCCCTGAGCTAGTATGCTTGCTCTGCCATGCTATGTCATACCATCTCTCATGTTACGATGCACTAAAAAGTCCCTTATTTCATAGCAGCATCACATTAATAGATTTCCCAGTATCCAGAAGTCTGAGCCAAACGTGCTTTTTTGTAAGCTACTAAATCATAGGTATTTTGTTATAGAAACAGAAAATGGACTCAGATATATTATTAAAGTCTGTTCTGAAAACTTAAAATTTTCAACATAATTTTAGAAACTCTGAATCATTAAGCATCCCTGACAAAAGACTAGGTGAACATAAGAGAAAGTTTGCAAGGAGAGACCTAGACTGTTTAATACAGTAGTAATAGAATCAATACTCCATGAACATGTATAAAATGAAATACCATTAATAGTGTACCTCTTACTGATGCTCCAACCTAGGATCATGCATGGACATAACATAGAACCCCTGCTTGGACATAGCCCATGGTAGCTCAGTATCCAAGTGGGTTCCCTAGTAGGGTAACAGAGACTGTTTCTGACATGAATTCAGTGGCTGGCTCTTTGACCTCCCCACCCCCATGGGAGGACACAAAGGAGAACATTGCAGACAGATATGATGAGACCTGATAAGTTAGGGTCAGATGGAAGGGGAGGAGGACCTCCCCTATCAGTGGACTTGGAGAGGAGCAGAGAGGAGATGAAGGATGGAGGATGGGATTAGGAGGAAATGAGGGAGGGGGCTACAGCTGGGATACAAAGTAAATAAACTGTATTAATAAATAAAATAGTGTGCCTCTTGGTATCAATGATACTAATAATGCTGATCTCTATTGATAAGCATAGTGAGTTCCCAACAAAGCTCAAGACATGGGTGAATATATAATAACAGGGAAAAACCAACAATCATGGGACATATACATGAAAACTGGCATTATCTGTTTCCTTTTCATAACTCAAATGATAATACATGCTGGAGAGGATGTGGAGAAAAGGGAACCTTCCTCCATTGCTGGTGGGAATGCAAACTTGTACAACCACTTTGGAAATCAATTTGGTGCTTTCTCAGAAAATTAGGAATAGTGCTTCCTCAAAATCCAGCTATACCATTCCTAGGCATATATCCAAAAGATGCTCACATACATAACAAAGACATTTGTTCAACCATGTTTGTCGCAGCTTTATTTGTAATAACTAGAAGCTGGAAATGAGTCAGATGTTCCTCAACTGAGGAATGGATACAGAAACTGTGTTGCATTTACACAATGGAATACTACGCAACAACTAAAAACAAAGAAGTCATGAAATTTGCAGGCAAATGGTGGGATCTAGAAAAGATCATCCTGAGTGAGGTATCCCAGAAACAGAAAGACACACACAGTATATACTCATTTATAAGTGGATATTAGACATATAATATAGGATAAACCTACACAAATCTGTACACCTAAAGAAACCAAGCAAGAAGGAGGACCCTTGGTAAGACGATCAATCCTTACTAAAAAAGACAAACAGGATGGACATTGCAAGTAGGAGAAAACAAGAAACAGAACAGGAGCCTACCACAGAAAGCCTCTGAAAGACTCTACCCAGCAGTGTATCAAAGCAGATGCTGAGACTCATAACCAAACTTTGGGCAGAGTGCAGGGAATCTTATGAAAGAAGGGGGAGTTAGTAAGACCTAGAGAGGACAGGAGCTCCACAAGGAGAGGAACAGTACCAAAATATCTGGGCATGGGGGTCTTTTTTGAGACTGATATTCCAACCAAGGACCATTCATGGATATTACCTAGAACCCCTGCTCAGATGTACATGGCCGCTCAGTATCCAAGTGAGTTCCTTAGTAATGGGAACAGGGACTTTCTCTGACATGAACTCAGTGACTGGCTCTTTGACCACCTCCCCTGAGAGGGCAACAGCCTTACCAGGCCACAGAGGAGGACAATGCATCCAGTCCTGATGAGACTTGATGAGCTAAGGTCAGACAGAAGGGTGGAAGGATCTCCCCTATCAGTGGACTTAGAGAGGGGCTTGGGAAGAGAAGAGAGAGAGAGAGGGTGGGATTGGGAGGGAATGAATGATAGGGCTACAGCTCAGACACAGTGTGAATAAACTGTAATTAATATAAAAAATTAAAATAGAAAGCATTTGAAAGTAGAACACAGCAGGATGAGTAAGTGGCATACTCCCACAATGCAAAAGAAGGAAGGAAAAAAATAAGGAAGGAAGGAAGGAAGGAAGGAAGGAAGGAAGGAAGGAAGGAAG